CTAAAAGAGTGGATTTAAAATATGTATAAAACTGTCACTACACTCTGCTCCTCTCAGAGCCTCATCAGGCTGTTTCAGCAGCTCAGAGCTGCCAAGCAAAAATGTGCCCCACCAGAGGATTTTGGCCTGAACGTTGGAAAACCTAAAAACGGCTCGTGCAGATGACCCAAGGGACCCACTTGCTTCATCCAGCAAAAAACTCAGACATGGACTATATTTTGGCACATGAGCATGTAGTCTTGTGTAAAGTCATAAGAGGCATTCTTATAGCTGATACAATTACAACCAGTGCTACAGCTTTAATATTGGTGTAATGTACATGAGTAATCATCTTAATTAAAATTGCCTCAGAGCTGTTATTTTGGCCACTTGTGGGCAGCAGAAGTGAATTATGATAGCAATATTATATCACCTTTACTGGTGGCAAAAATGCTCATGAATGGGAATCTGATACTCACTTCATTTGGTTACCTCCAATACTGAAAATACTGAAGTGTTTAACTGGTCTACTGGCAGTTCACCTGAAAAATGTCTTTTAAAAAATTCTGGCCAGCAGAGGCCAAAAATGAATGTGCTAGACCTGCGTAAGGCTCCATTCACACAATTCTAGAGACTGGCTGGCGTGTACCTGGTAGGGTCGTAAGTATTCCTCAACTGCTTGCTGGCAGTTGCCGTGAAATCAGTTGTTAAGTTCCAGTCACACAGGACTAGAAACTAGTCAATCCCCCAGTAACTACCATTCATTAGTGAAAAATGTGTATTCCTCGGTAAATGTTTGTGGGATGTTGCTTGCTGTCACTTGGTGAAGTGGTCACCAGTAGGGCTGCAGCAGTTCGTTGCCAATATCGATGATGTCGACTATGAAAATTAGTCGACGTGAAATTTTACTGTCGACACGTCATATACTATTACCACGTAAATGTATTAGTATATAGTAGTTAATATTTTTTTTTTCTGATGATCCTATTGAGTATTGTTAAAAACACATTTGATTATTTTCCACATTCATATGTTTCCTAAGTCATTAATTTAATTTGCTGTGAGACGAGACAACAGGGTGATATTCACAGGTGGGCAGAACTGAACATGTGAGGCACTGGAGCCTAGAACAGGAGGTTTGCCCACAGGATGAGAGTTATTGAAATGATCGTTGACTAATTGACTAATTGAAGAAAAATTGGCAGATTAGTCAACTACCAAAATAATCTTTAGTTGGAGGCCATTTCTTTAGATGGAAGATATCTCCAAACACTCCATTTCGTGCTGTGCCTCTCTGAATCATGAAGTGAACATGCATGTATAAGCTGCAGTACCAGCAGGGGAGATCATATATTTAAAGCCAAGAAGCTCCTAGCGACCAAAGATAGTATGAAGTACAATCCTTCTATGCTAGTAACGATTAAGCTAGGCGGCTAATGTGTATTTATATGTAAATGTGTTAATAATGTCTGTTTAAGCGCTTTCCCTTGATGATTTTCATTTTGGTTTGAAATGAAATATTTCCCTCTGCTGTTACTGAGCTTACTCAGCTTCTGCATGCGTGACTGTGTTATAAATAGGCACAGTGGACCGATGTATCTATTATATGCTTGACCTTAATACTGATTTGAACAGAGACCGTTCATTAAAAGTTGCACATTTAAAATGTATCTGCTGCACCAGTGAAGTGTCTCTGTTTCTAGTTTGTGTCACACTTTTTCGAGTTTCACTTAGGTTAGGTATGTAGCGAGTGTTTGCAAACAAGTCAATATCTTCCATGCAGTCTGCTAGTGACTTAAACAATCTCAGGGAGGGTTTTGGTGCAGCATTTTAATTCTGATTGTGACTCAGCGATGACCAACAGCTTCTAGCAACCACTCACCAACTGGTTGGAGAATGCACATTTTTTCCAGAGACTGCTAGGGAGTTTCCAACCATTGTAAATGAGGCCTAAGCTAACAAAGAATATAGCATTTGTGGGCCAGACAACTAAAAGAGGTTAAAAATTCTAGTTTAAAAAAAAAAAGAAGTAAAAAATCTATCCTAAATTAACTTACAGTCAGTAGATATGCTTACCTGTATTTGCAGCTCTATATGCTCAGAATTTACATGTACAACCTTCCCACAGCAAACTGGCCATATTGTTTGACAAGTAATTTATCTTGTTGAAAACACTAACTAAACAGTAGCTCCACAAGAACGTGTCAGTGTTTAAACTAAAGACAATAAAGTAATTTTTATGACAGTAGTGATAATGGCCTTTGTTGCTAATGTGCCTTAGATTCCATTGCCCAGCCTGTGCTAATACTGAGAACATGGCACACAGATACAGTTTTAAGGGTCATAGCACAAAACAAAACCATACTTAATGTGCTAGAGAGTAATGAAGGTTAATCACGCACACCTTTATGCATTGCTACAGCTATAAAGTGAATCTTTGTCTCCCAGCAGGATAGAGATTAATCATAAGCTGGTATTTGTTGAGCCTGTTAGGACTCAGAAACCCTGCATGTGGTTTTATGGGGATACTATAAAGTAGCTGATGTTGCAGCTTTTATATACCAAATTAATAATTTTGCTTCAGTGAATGGGCTGTTAATGGTTTCCAAAGCATAAGACAGTAATTTCCCCTGATGTTCTAAATGTCAACAGCTGACAGTGGGAAGCTGTAAAGCTGTGACTTCTTGTTTTGGAGCTAAAATCAAACTTTAAAAGCAGAACCTAAAGCAGAACAGCTGTTTGTTTGAACCTCTTCCTATCCCCTTTGTGTCTGAAACAGTCTGTATATCTGTGTTTTATGTGAAGCAACAGAATGAACTGAACTTGAATCTTTAAATGCTTCAATGAATGTGATGTGAAACAAAGAACATACATGTCCTGATTGAACAAATTTAAACTGGAGCGCTCAAACTTTAGAGTCCCAGTTTAATTAAGCAGTTACACACGTGGTGCACATAAGATTCAAAGAAGCCTGTAAAACTTTGGCTGCAGTGTTTTTGATCTAATGTTTGGTGTACGTGTGTGAGTTAGAAGCACACCAGGGTTGCATGCAGCTGTCTAAGAGGATCTCTTGCTGTTATGTGATGAAATACCCTCAGTCACCTTTTTCATTGCACATTGTATAGGTTTCCATAAACTGTATTTGTTTTTCCATTAGAAATTCTGATTTAATTCAGTAGATCAATCAAAATAGTTCAAACTAAGATAACTGTTAACAAAGCAGAGAACAGGAAATTGGCTTTACCAGATTTTATGAAGGTGAATATTAACATCGTATTGATGTTAATGATAGACAAAGTGTGTCTGACATCTGCCAAAGTTAGCTGAAGCCAGAATACTGAAATGGTTCATATATGGTGCTTTTGTACTTGAGCAATCGAAGCACTTTACACAAGCTACACCTAAGTGCTTTCTATTTAACATTCTCACACAGATGAACACATCAGAGCAAGTTCAGTATCAGGATTCTTTGGCATACAGACAGGAGCAGCCATGGATTGAACCACTAACCTTCAGATTAGTAGATGACCTGCTAAAACTCCTGAGCTACAGCCCAGTGAAAGACTGGATGTTTGCTTGTATAGTGCAGTACAGCTGCAAGTCTTCCTCGGCCTCTTCCTCCTTGCGCTTTATGCCATCTTTGAGCTGACTGTGTTATAAATTATGGATTACAGTGAAATGCCTCGTGTCTCTCAAACTGCTATGTTCCACTGACCCATATCTGCTGTTTGCATTTCTTCACGCTCCTGTTCTTTAAGCCTTGTGTTTATATTGACTGCAGTGGGTTTAAAGTCTTGTCTGATTCCTGGCAAGGACTGCAAGAGCAGACAGAAAGTTATACTAAACGTCGCATGATGCATCTACAAAAAACAAGAAATATTACAATGTGTGGAAATATGTGCCACGTGTAACTCACAAAGAGAAAATAAAAGTCCAATTATTCTATCCTAAAACTATATCAAGAGACATTTCATTCAATATTTGGTATTGCACTAAAGGATGTTGAACACAAGCTATGTTGTATCGTTCACATTTTCCTGTGTGAAAGTTTAAACTGCTTCACAGACAGACACACAGTTACTACAGCAACTGAGCTCTTAAAAGGTTTTTTTTTTGAAGCACCACAGACAAGCTGGAGCATCAAAGGTGAATGAATCAGTTGCTGTTGTTTCCACCTGTATAGAAATGCTGTTTACAGAATAGTTTCAGTTTTAAGATGAAACTATATTTGTAACAACTTTTTAAAGATTTGTGTCTTCAGCAGGAACCAGACAGCCTGGGGCTGAGAAACTAACATTTATTTGTTTTGGTATTTTTGGAGGATTTATTGATAGAAGGAAAAAATACAGACTACTAATCTTAACCTTTATCAGTGTGATAGTAATCACTTTGGAGGAAACACTGATCCTGTGTTATATTTATGTCTTTTAGTTAATTTGAATCCAACAGCTAAGAGGGGACAGCAGTGTGAGTTTGCCTTCTGTTGACCAAAGATGAGGGAATATTTTGTGTTTTAACTTGATCATATCTGGCAGCTGACTTGTCCCCTGAATATAACCCTTCTGCGTTTTAGATTTTAGAAGCTCAAAAAAAAAGATAATCTCTTTTTTTCTTTCGAGTATGTTAATTATTACAGAAATAGTCTTATCACTAAGGAGAAGATTAGTCTGAATAAATAAGATAACATTTATGAAGATTAATTGCTATCATCGCCCAGGCAGCCAAAACTCATGCGTGTGCTTAATTTTGTATTCTACTGATGTTTCTTTTCTGGGCTGAATCTGTACATGAATATCCTGAACTCCTGAAGGAGCATCAAAGAGTTTAGGAGACTTTAATCATCCAAATAATTTTGAACATCCACTATAGCTATACACACTGGTGTTTAGTTTGTCTTAAAGAAGACAGAAAACCAAAAACATTCAGATTAAAAGATTAAAAATCTTACTTTGAGAGGACGCGTTGGTATATTCTAAATTATAATTAATAACTGCTGACTCAATATATTCTCTGTCTTACAGTGATCATGGGAGGCTGTTGACATCTGATCTCCCCGTTAGCTCAGAGGACGCTAGAGTAGCTCGAAAACACCGCCGGGTGTGCAGTCACTGGTCCAAACATGGCTGCCCATCGAATCAGAGCCACGACGAACAACAACGCTTCCCTGCCTCGCTGCAAATCAGAGGGAACGCTCATCGATCTCACCGAAGGAGTGTCAGAAGCCAGTCTCACCGATGTCAAAGGTCAGCAGGCCTGAAAAGCGTATTGAAATTAATGACACAAGAGTCATTTTTTTCTGTTTTTCTCTCAGGTTTGAAGTACTTTACTTTAAATAAGCTGATTACAATTTTTCAGAGATAAACTTTGATAAATACTACTTTTAAGTACTTTTTAGGGTAAATTTTTCAGTATTGTTAAAACTAGGAATAAAGTTTATATAAACCCCAGACTCAGCAATGAACTTCTTTAGATGCAGACTCTGTTTTGTAGTTGTGTTTATGGGGATTATAGGTACTATCTTTGATAATTGTAGAGCTCTCTGTAAAATCCTGTGTAAACAACTCCACAAAGAACAATCTAACTCATTCCGCATTGAGCCATCATTCTGCCATACATATTGTTGTTAAGTGTAGGTAAGATACACAGGAACCAAATCCCCCCCCCCCCCCCCCAAAAAAAAAAAAACCCCAAAACAACAACAACAAAAAAACCAAAACAGGGGCATGAAATAGTGAGAGAGCTTTCCTTCCATGTCTGCACATCTGGTAGTGACTAGAGATGGCACGATACCACTTTTTTATGTCCGATACCGATACCGATATCATGAATTTGGATATCTGCCAATACCGATATGAATCGATATAGTGTTTTTTAATCAACAAAACTTTTTTTTAAAATATCTTGCTGCATTTTGTATAAGTTCATACTCAAGTTTAAAACAACAACTACACTAAAGCTATTCTGTTATACCTGTATGCAAAAAAAAAATTTCATAGTTCAGCAATACTGATCAATCTAATAAACTTAAACCTACACCATCCTCCCTATTCTGGTATTTTAAAGAGTACTTAGCGTAAATATTAAGCAACCTAACTAATAGGGTTCCAACTCCCAGCAACAACAAAAATAAATAAATAAAAAATAGGGAACCACCCCTCACGCTCCACCTCATGATGCTTAATCGACGTAATCAACCTTAATTTGATGCAGTGTGAAAAAAATGCACAGAAATCAATTATTTTTCAAGAAATATTAAATAGATTCAACATCTTTCTTCAACAAAATTGCAGACTGCACAGATGGTACCTTCCCAAAGGAAAAAGTACTATAGCTTACTAGGGTATATATATTAGACTTAATAGTCACTATATACAGTAATTGACTTCTATTCATTTTACATCAAATTAAAACTTTGGGTGTCAGATAATTATTTATTAAAAGCTAGACATTTTAAATGAGAATAAGAAAGAAAAGTATGTCTTTGTGCCCCCTTTTCCCTGTTCATGCCCTATCGGCCCCCCTGGCTAAACTTTGCTAGATCCGCCCCTGCACAGTTACCAGCCGTCAGCTACGTAGAAAAAGATCCTCGAGTAGAAAGTAATAATAAATAAATTCTAACAACAGCTGATCAAGCTTAAACGTGCTGCTGTTGTTCAGCCGCTGGTTTCCTCTTTCTGGTGCAAAGTGGGCCAAAAACAAACAAGAGAGACGGACTCGCGACAGAAAAGCCGATCAGCTGATCATTAAGCAGTTTCATGATTGAAGTAGCAGCAAGAAGAGGCAGTCGCTCCATATATCTTGTTAAGCTTAACGCAGGAATGCTTTACAAACATTCAGAGATGGACTTACACACTTGCTTTACTTCTCTCGGGGATAACTTTGTCGGAGATGAAATGCCGGGTTGCTAGCGAAGCTCCAAATGCTATCCAGACCACGACAGGTCCCGCATGCCACAGCCGCTCTATCACCTGATGCATACTGCTCCGACGTGCTAACGTTCTGAGGTGAGTTACGGCGTGTTGCAAGTTTTGTGAGGTGTTTTCGTGATATTTAATGGATCGGATTACATTTTTTATTTTTCTCCGATATCCGATCCAGTAATTTAGGTCAGTATCGGACCGATACCGATACGTAATATCGGATCGGTCCATCTCTAGTAGTGACACTCCATAGCTGAATATAAATGGCCCAGGTTCTGCATATGTAGACAAAAAATATTTAGTTCTTGAAATAATTTGTAATAAATAAAAATTTGTTAAAGCCCTATTTCTAGAATTTTAGAAGTTAACCCTACTTCTCTATAGAAACACTGAAAAGTTGATGACTAGCACTTGCCTTATATACATAATGATGTATTTCACCACAAAAATATCACACTTTCATGTTTTATTTATTTATTTTTTTCCAGTGCCTTCTCCCAGTGCCTTACGACTGGACACAACTGCCTCCTTTGGCACTGCCAGGGAGGTTGTTGCCATTAAGGACTACTGCCCGTCTAGCTTCACCACCCTGAAGTTCTCTAAAGGAGATCGCCTCTATGTTCTGGACTCGTCAGGAGGAGAGTGGTGGTATGCCCACAATAACAAAGAGATGGGTTACATTCCTGCAGCATATGTGGAGCCCATTAACTACAGAGACTCGTCCTTCAGCGACAGTGGGATGATTGACACTGTGGGAGACTGTAATGAGGAGGCAGCCAAAGAAATGGACCTTCTAGGCGAGTGGGCAGGAGTGATTCTTAAACCAACCACCTTCCAAAATGGAAATCCTTTTGCAACTAACCATACCTCTACAAATCCCTTTCTAAACGGGGGTCCCCAGAGCTCACTTGATCAAAACAGTAATGAAAAATCAGTTGATCTTCTTCTGTTTGATACCGTCACTCCATCGTTGCCCAAGTCCACCAGCAGCACTGCTGACATTAATGGTTTTGGCAGCGGTGTTATCAGTTTGAACCCTGTAAGTCCTGTGGGGGTCGGTCAGGTTATGCGCAGAGACAACCCGTTTTTTAGAAGCAAACGTTCCTACAGTCTGTCGGAGTTATCCATCCTGCAGGCACAGTCCGATGCTCCTCAGGCCTCTGCTAGTTTCTTTGGAGGCCTTAAAGCACCAGCACCAGAGCAGTTTCAGAGCAGGGAGGATTTCCGGACTGCATGGCTTACACACCGCAAGTTGGCCAGGTCCTGCCATGATTTGGATTCCCTTGGCCAGAACCCAGGCTGGGGCCAAACGCAGCCGGTGGAGACTAACATCGTATGTCGACTAGACAGCTCAGGTGGAGCTGTCCAGCTTCCGGAAACCAGCATCAGCATCCATGTACCAGAGGGCCATGTCGCCCCTGGGGATACACAGCAGATCTCAATTAAAGCTTTGCTAGACCCGCCGCTAGAGCTCAACAGTGACCGCTGTACCACTGTCAGCCCTGTGGTGGAGATTAAACTCAGCAACATGGAAACCAAAACCACTGTTACCCTGGAGATGAAAGTGTCTGTTGTGGTAAAAATGGAGAGCAGGCAGACTACTGAAGTCTTGTGTGTACGAAGTGATTGTAAAGAGGGACCTTACACTCCTGTTCCTCAGGCATACATGTATGGAGACACAGTCCAGGTGTGCCTGGATAACCTTGAGCCATGTATGTACGTGTGTGTCGTGGCTCAGGCTCAATCCTTATCTCCAAATTCCACAGTTTGGGAGCATGTGGTTAAGAAGATAACTTTGGGAGTGTATGGTCCCAAACACATCCATCCATCCTTCAAAACAGTGGTGGCTATGTTCGGCCATGATTGTGCGCCAAAGACACTGTTGGTGAGTGAGGTTGGCAAGCAGGCCCAGTCTGCACCACCAGTTGCTCTCCAGCTCTGGGGCAAACACCAGTTTATCCTGTCACGACCGCAGGACCTTCGTGTAGGAGTTTATTCCAACATGGCCAATTATGAGGTAAAGGCTAGTGAGCAGGCCAGGGTAGTTCGAGGATTCCAAGTTAAGCTAGGCAAAGTCAGCAGGCTTGTCTATGTCATTGCATCACGCGCAGACGATGTGTCGGATTTCACCCTAAGAATCCAGGTCAAAGATGACCAAGATTGTATACTGGCCCAGTTTTGTGTCCAGACACCAACACCGCCACCCAAAGCAGGCCCAAAGACATCAGCGCAACGGCGATTCCTGAAGAAGAAGGAAGTTGGTAAGATTGTCTTGTCTCCTCTTGCCATTGCCACTAAGTATCCTGTTTTTCAGGACAGGAGAATAAACAACCTGAAGTTTGGAAAGTTAATCAAAACTGTCATACGACAAACAAAAAATCAGTACTTGCTTGAATATAGGAAAGGAGATTTTGTAGCTCTGTTAAGTGAGGAGAAGATCAAGCTGAAGGGCCAGTTGTGGACAAAAGAATGGTACATTGGATATTATCAGGGCAGAATGGGACTTGTTCATTGTAAGAATGTGCTGGTGGTCGGCAAAGTTAAGCCAATTTACTTCACTGGGCCTGACCTCACAACCTCATTGTTACTTGAGCAGATACTGAAGCCCTGCAAGTTCCTCACATATATTTACGCCTCTGTAAGAACTATATTGATGGAGAACATTGGCAACTGGCGAGCATTCGCAGATGCACTTGGATATGTCAACCTACCCTTAACGCATTTTTGCCGCGCTGAGCTGGACAGCGAACCAGAGAGGGTTGCATCAGTGTTGGAGAGGCTGAAGGAAGACTGCAACAATGCCGAGAGCAAAGAGAGGAAGTCCTTCCAGAAAGAACTCCTGACAGTAAGTTACTACCTTGGCATCCTCCTCTGTAGCAGTGACATAGCGTTTTCTTTGAGCAACCGATTTGAAGAAATGAAAATTGTTCTTTTCTGTTTTAACTTTTCAGTTTCATGTCGATACATTATGGCCTTCATTGGTCCAATTAGAGGCATTATTTGTTCTTTATCCCCTTGGTTGGACACTTGTTTCTTAAAGCAAAATTATCCCTCTGCTGTGTTATCTTCCCACAGCTGCCTTAGGATTTAGGCTGTGGTCCAGTCTACTGATTCTGCTGGGAGTGCAGTCAATAACTGCTGTGTAGGCATCGGGGTCTAATCAGGACCGAGGAGCTATGCAGAGCAGCAGAATACTTTGTCCCCATGAGTATGCTGATCCTACAAATCCAATAGATAGCATAGACTGCACTTGTAATTTTTTTACTTTATGTGCAAATAAATCAAATACCAGGAAAGAAAAAAAAGTGTTGAGAGCTTAATGAAACTGGCTCTTACTCTGGTATGTACACTAAGACATTTCAGGAATGGAAACAATGATACTGAATTGTGATTGATGATGAGAAGTAACCCAAACTCTATTTTTTGGTGAAAAATGCATGTTTTTCATTTGTGTCAGTTCCAATTACTATGATTTTGACTAGTGGTTGTGACAACTTGGGAAACAAATCCCGTATTCTTAGGTTATCATTAGGGGTTAGGAATAGCGATACAGCTCAGCCAGTTAGAAAGAAACACAGGTGCTTGTCAGCTCATAACAAAAACCCTTTTCTTTACGTCTCTTTTTTCAGTTGGGCTTTAAGTAGAATATCAAATGTGGAACGCTTTAGCGAAGTTTAACATTTTTAGGGATTTTACTGGGGCTTTTCTTCTAAAGTGAACAGATGTGTCTGAAGCCTGGTCATTATGCTTATGTATTGTGTTTTTTTCTTTTCAGTGCATTCAGCCTTTTTTTTTTCTCGGAGGGGGAAAGGCCAAAATGCTGAGCTGTGCTCACTGTAAATGTGCAAACCAGCTCTGTCTGGCACTCAGTTATACATCTTCTGTCATGGAAATGTGGATTTTCGCCTCAGCGCCTCAGGCTGTCTGGATATCGAGCCTCATCCTTACATGCCTAAACACACTGTTTGTGGAACTGTGCTCTGTAAAATTTGGCATTTTTCATTTTACGACTTACATTTTACATGTCTGTGTGCCCCTGAAATATTACTTTTTAGTGCGCTGTGTCCCCTTTTGACTTGAGGCACTGTTTCTACGCTTTGTTTCTGTATCAGTACATTATCCTGCTGAGAGTTTCTCGGAGGTCACAGACATCTTACAGCTGAAGTAATGCCGAGCAGAAACACTGTAATTTGCACAGGGTTGTAAACACTAGTTAGAAACATTTATAGACAGAGAAACTGCAGTATGGAAAAGAACATAATAAAAGGTGGTGACTGAAAATATGCCCTGCTGGGTAGTTTGAACATAGGCCTGTTTTTATGTTATTCCTGTCTGGATTACACATAAACTACTGGTTACTCTCAGGACAATCAAAGCACACAATGATCACTCAGATTCGGTATCACGAACGGTTGTTTTACCAGCGTACATATTCTCGTTTGACCAATGTGCAAACACTGCTCCCCCCCACCCCCGAAAGCAGAATCATTTGCGTGATCAAATCTTCCCTCCTCTGGAAATTGAGCTATTTTCTGTGTCGGGGGGACATTCTCCAACGATTCGCCTGTGTGCCATTTGACGTGCCATTTTGAAATCTATTTTTAGACGAAAGAGAACCAAATCAAAAGCACTGTGGCTGCACCAAAGAGCAGTCTTTGTGTTAAAATGTATGATGCTCTTTTAGTGTGCTTTGATTATTAGTAGAGAAAAGGAACATTGTATGTATATATGCACACATCCAGTCCTGCAATACATCTTCCTTTGCAACGATTATGAGCTTCGGTTTAAGCTGCACCTGTATTGCAGAGGCACAAAAGGTATTATGTTATGAGATGATTATGTTATGTGCTTATATTGTAACTTGGCCACTGATGTATGCTGTGTTCCAGAGTCTGTGCTTAAGGTGACATTTTTATAAGCCATGTTTTGGTCCACCAACCGTCCAGAACTAATTTTCCTGTAGTTTAGAACAGAAACTGAGCAAATCTTCACACTGGAGAGGCAGAAACAAGACAACGATTTGAGACTTACTTCTGCCATGTGAGTAACTTGCAGATCTTTTATAAACCGTAACAGGAAGGCAGAACAGCAGGGAAGTCTGTCACTCAGACTAATTCCCCATACATCTGCATGATGTTTTATTCAGGAGTAAAATCAGTAGGGCTGTACTGCTGTGCTTATATTCATATAAATCCATCAATTCTTTTCTTACATTTTTTAATTTCCACAACATGTTGGATTATCTGAGTGTTTATTACACTTCAAACCAATTAGCTGGTTTCAATTTAAAATATTATTTCTAATATTACGACAACCGCGGGTATTTTCTGGCGCCACCATCAGGTCAGGGTGTTCTTACACTAACTAACTTAGTGTAGCTACGTTTTTTGTTGTTTTTGTTTTTTTTAACAGTAGTCAGAATACTAAACTAGGATTAAAGTGAATTTTTTTTGGTTTGCTGAGAGTGATTTTCAAAGAGCAATACAGTGCATTCTAGTGTTTTTTTTTCCATAAGGTTTGTTTATATCAACAGGCAGGGACAAGCTTGACTTCTCTGTCGATACCTTGGGAGTACAGCTGGAGATTTATTTCAGCTGTCTCTGTGTGACTAACTGGAGTCTGTGATTTTTTTCAGTCATTATGAAAAAAAAAATCTGTGTTATAATGCTGTAAAAATGTCTCATCTAAACAAAATAAGCATTTTATTTCTCATAATAACACAGCCATAGATGGTAGATGTTTTAAAGGAAGTAAAGGGGAGACATGCTGTGGACTACATGAACATTTAGCATCCTAAACAGTGTAATAAATGGGGAGTGATTTCAGATTTATGGACAGCTCAGTTGGCAACAGAAAAATAAAGTGGCATTATGTTAAAAAAAAGAAAGAAAAGCATTTACACCATTAATGTACTTTCCCTTTACCTTGTCTACAAACCATTTATTTGTGGAGCAGTTTATACTCCACCAGTAGACGGTAAAAACACCATCATGAGGCAAACTCACAGGTTAAATCTCACCACGCTTAAACTTGATGTTAATGGGGTGTGTTTATTATTATGCTCAATTTCACCCTTTCAGATGCTGCTTTGAGCTTTAGGGAAGTTTTAAATTCTAAAAAGTGCTAGACTGTTATTTCATTTAATACATCTTTTGTGGAATTGTTTCAGTGCGTAAATACAAATAGTGGTGTGAATATAGCTTCCATCGCACACGTAATAGTTTGGCCCTGTAGGACAGTCAGATGTGAGTTTTGTTGGTATGTAAAGAGAGTTTTGTTGTTGTTGTGGATAATGGAAATGATCCAAGTTATGTCTGTTGGATCTCAAACCTGCAGATGTTTCCTGCCTCATTGTTCCCAAACTAAACAGAAGATGCAGTTGTGGACTAGTAGGCGCCTGCAATCCATGCGACCCCATTGTCTTCCTTGACCCAGACCCTGCACATAGGACCAATTTGAACTTGTCTGAGGCAGGTGGATGATGTCTATGAACAGATTGATATTTTAACAGTAAAAATGAGCAACTATGAGAAATCACTCATCTTTGGAAAAGAGAGTTTATTACAGAGAAATGGCTCTTTCCAAAATAAAAGCTATACTATATGCTTCTTCTGGGCTATATTCTCAGAAGCATATTAAACATATCAGGTCCCCATAAGGAGAATCATGTGCTAACGGCTGTCTAAATGACTCGGGTAAAGTTTGTTGCATGCGTGCTTGTTGTTTTTGTCTGCTTCCACTTGTCTTTGCACTAGGATGATGTCGGTGTAAATGTGAAATCATATTCGTTGTGTTCCCACTAGTGCTGTCAGCATTAATCTGAAATGATGTTAACGCCACAACACGGCAAATCTCCGTTAACGAGCTACCGCGGATCGCCCCGTGCGTGGGGCTGGACGGCCAACACGTTAACGAGCTAACTGCGCTAACGCAGTAGTTCCCACCATGTAATTGAGCATTGCGTGGCACATCCGACATACTGTTTTACTTTTGTCCATGACGCGCTTACCTTCAGGGTCATACGTCACATGAAGACCAAAATAGTTCCAAAGGCCAGATCTGAATGCGGGTGGGGGAGGTTTAATTTGCCATGTTGTAATGAGCTTAGCTTCTGTCTTGCTAGCTTGCACTGCGCTCAGTGGATCCGCGCTCGACAGTGCAGCCTAGGCAGAGTAGTCGAACGCAGATCCACTGAGCTCTCAACACAGACAGCAGTTGATAAAATAAATTCAAAATTTTGTATTGTTCGATACAAATGTGTACCGAACCGAAAGTACTGTATCGAACGGTTCAATATCGATACGAGTATCTTTGCACCCCTAATATGTATATATATATATATATATTTCTTTGGGGTGAAACCAAAAGGAAAGGCTAACCTAAGCACCCGGCATTTTACAAAAATCCTTGCACACCTTAAATGACTGACCCTCACAGTCTGAATTGGTGTCATTAGGAATGCTGGGAAGGTGAAAATCATGGTGGATCAATAAATTACCTATCTCTAAGCTGGTGAGCAATTTAGAAGGTGCTTTGAAGTGGAAAGATTTAGAAAATCTTAGACTTCAAGGATTACTGTATTCCCTTCAGAAGGACAGTAACAAAACCTATTCCAATGTAAGGGTTTGTTGGTAGGGAGGCTGGGCCATATCATACCGTTCATGGTAATACTGGTATAATGTTGGGCAATGATAATAAAATGAAATATTGCGATAGAATATGGGTAAAACGTGCATGCGCAGTGCCTTTGTTTTCATGCGCAAATGGCGGAAAAAGCATGGCGGCGACACAGAATGAGAAGGGCGAAAGCGGATCTGTCACGGCTGCCGAGGCGAGCCGTGTGGA